AGACAGAGAGAGACAGAGAGACAGAAAGTGAGAAATCAGCCCCCAGGGGGGATGGCCACACCACAATCTCTTCTCCTCCATTCTCCTCTCGGAATCTTGGGCACGCACGCACACGCGCCTGGTGTGAGTTTAAGCCACCAGGTCCAGGGATCGAACCACGGTCATCTACATGGGAGTCCAGCGACAGCCATTATGCCATCTGCTAGTCCCAACAAAATTTTTTCCCACTTAGCAAAATCCACCTAAAAATGGCAGAATATTTTCTGGCCCGAAATGTCAATCAGTTCTCCAAAGTCACCCTGAGAGCAGATCTGGAGCTCCAGGGAAGCCTCTGCTGAAGAGACACCTCCCCCCAGGAGGTGCCATGGGCCTGGTCTCAGCACCATGGTGGGTGTGAACTAGGGCAGTCTTCTGCCTTCCTTGTTCGAATCCAGAAATGGCGCTGAAGACCCAGGGGCATCCCTGCTCGTTATTTCCGCTGTGCATGGCCTTGGTTAATTATGGAAACTTTCTGGTCCTGGGTTTCCTCATCTGTAAAATGAAGACAGTACCACCTTCCTAGACTTGTGAGAATAAATAAGAAGACGCACACATCGGGGTTTTCACCTGCACAACTCTAGGAGCTGGACCCTGTGTACCTCTGGGGGTGATCCAGATCCTGGAGCCATTCCCTGAGTGCCGCAGCCCCAGTCCCTGCTGTGAGAATAAATAAGAAGACGTGCACATCGGGGTTTTCACCTGCACAACTTTAGGAGCTGGGCCCTGTCTACCTTTGGGGGTGACCCAAATACTGGAGCCATTCCCTGAGTGCCGCAGCCCCAGTCCCTGCATCAGCCTGGGCTCTCGGGAAGCCCTTGACTCTTGAGCGTGCCCAGCCGGGAGCAGGTGGGGCCAGGGCTGGGTAAATGCATGCCAAGACATCCATACATTCCCTGACAGCGCCTGTGTCAGAAACACCCTCTGATGATGGGACTCACCTGGGAACACTGGCCAGAGAGTAGCTGGCCTTGGTGCGGAAGGAGGCTGTCTTCTCATTTTGTAGAGTATTTCCCCAGCACAGGGACCCAAGAGCTGTGGGCTGGTGACAGTGAGAGGCACGCAGTGTGTGGGGTCTTCCAGAAGTCCATGGAAAGTGCCTATTATTTTTATAGATACATGGATTCTGTTTTATTTTACTGCACCAAAATAAACTTGTACTTCAATTCCTTTTTTTTCCCCAAACTTTTTGACATTCCCTCATTTGTCAGTTACTGAAGTGGACTCAAGCCCAGCCCTGCCTCTCGCAAGCTGTTTAGCCCTTCTGCAAGTTACTTCACCCCTTACCTCTGTTTCCTCATCCGTGCAATAGGGATAATAGTAGTTCCTGCCCCCTGCAGTTGTTTTAAGATTGAAATGAGTGTGGGCCAGCAGACGGCATAGTGGTTACATCGCTGGACTCCCACATGGCCGACGGCGGTTTGAGCCCTGGCCCCAGTGGCTTGAAACTCACACAGGGCATGTGTGCCCAAGATCCCAGAAGGAGAGTGGAAGAGAAAGGATTGTGGCATGGCCATCCCCCCTTGGGGGGCTGATTTCTCACTTTCTCTCTCTCTCTCTCTCTCTCTCTCTCTGGCGAGCATACTTGCCCTAAAGCAAAATCCTCTACCAAAAAGAAAGAAAGAAAGAAAGAAAGAAAGAAAGAAAGAAAGAAAGAAAGAAAGAAAGAAAGAAAGAAAAGAAAGAAAGAAAGAAAGGAAGGAAGAAAGGAAGGAATGTATAGATAAGGCCTTTGTGGTGATATTTGGTTTCCAGGAAGTGCCAGGTAGGTAGGGGTAGGCCGCTGTCACCATCTGGCTAACTTGTGTGTCCTCTTCTTGTCCCAGTGCCTAGCCCCTCCTGCAATGGCTTTGACAGCACCCTGTCGAGACCTTGCCGGGTGCCACTAGGGAAGGAAGTCTGCTTCATCGCCACCGTCCGTCTGGCAACACCGCAGTTTTTAAAGGTGAGTGCCAGGGGGCCACTCACTGCAGAGCTGCTCCAGTTCAGTTACATTTAATCAGCTGTCTTGATAGAAGAGAATAAGATGACAGGGAAGTGGTCACTAGCTTTGAAAATCTAAATGTCTGGCTCCCTTGCCTGGCACACACACCCCTCCGCTTCCCCCAGTTCCTGAGAGTTACCGTATCATGTTGGAGGCAGCATGGCTTGTGTTCAGCCCACAGAGCCGCCCTGAGAAAACTGTACATCTCCTTGCTTTTCGCACTGTGTTGACACTCAGGGCAGGCATGGGCGAGAACAGGGTGTCAGAGAGCGGAGGTTCATCTGCATTGTCTCATCTGGGATCGCTTTAACATCGATGGCATGAACGCGGAGCTAAATTAGGAATTCAAATTCAGAGGAAAAGCCATTTTCCACATGTTTACCACACTTCTAGATAATGGGAAGGGAGTGGCGTGACATTTTGGCTCCTAGGTATTTTTCTCCAGCTTGTGAAATAAATTTAGTCTCAGCTAATACTGAAATTAGCAGCAGATGGTGAGCTCCGGTCCAACAGGACGTGGAGACTTGCTCCAAACGGTTCTAGCTCCTGTTATCCCTTCCCCGTGCGCTGCTTGTGAACATCCTAGGGCGAGTAGCTGGCACCCCACGCAGCATTTCTTCCTTCCTTTCCACTACAGGAAATGTGCATAGTCGACGAACCTTTAGAGGAATTCACTTCGCGGCATAGCTTGGAATGGAAGTTTTTATTTTTGGATCACAGGTTTGTGAAAAGCACAAGGTATTTGGGTTGGATTCTTTTCAAGGGTCGTTTGCATGAGCCCTTAAAGGAGAAGGACTCCCAGAGTAGGAAAGGTCCTGCATGGCCCATGGGGAGGGGGACTCCCCTTCTTCCACGTTTGTGTCACTCACGAGATGGTCTGTGTTCTGGCCAGAGCCTCAGCTCAGAGGATGGTTCTCTCTCGGGGCCAGGAAGACGGGAGAAGATGAGAAAGAGACCAGTCATCTGATTTCTTCCAACGCCCTTTGACCCTGTTGCCCAATCCTCTCTTTCTTTTGTCACGTTACAGCTGAAGAACTAGAAATCTCCCTGCTTACCTTTAATTTGGTATTGCCTTTGGCATTGGGTTGACCCAGTATTCAGCTGCTGTTAATGATCAGTAGTGATAATGTCTAACAGTATCCAAGCCAGGTTATGCCAAAGGAATGGAGTGTTTAAATGTCAAAAATGTCCAACCCTTTGGGAAGCACAGCCTCTCTGGTTTTGACCATGGCATTTTTTCCTCCCCTTGTTCTTGGGAAACGAGGCCTCTATGCTGGTCGTAGAATGTGGAGACTGCACCCTCCGCCTCGAGAGACAGGGCCACTTCGGGGGGCCAGCAGCAGGCTCGCTCTCTGATGAAGCATTCGTTCCCTTCATCGCCTTGCAGAGCCCCGCCCATTATAGGATACCTGCCTTTCGAAGTGCTGGGGACCTCGGGCTACGACTACTACCACATCGACGACCTGGAGCTCCTGGCCAGGTGCCACCAGCACTGTGAGTACCACTCACAGTGGGCGCAGGGGCCTCGCACTCGCTCCACGGCAGGGCTCGGGGCCTCTGGGCGTCTGCTCCATACCCGGTTGCTTTTGGAAGTGGAGGACTTGGTCTTCTCTGAAACCATCTGAGGGCACAGTGGGCTTCCTTGTCTGCATTTGCCTGTGTCGGGTTTAAAACCCCAGCACCTTCTGAGGGTCATCTAGAGACACACTATTTAATGCTAATCAAGACAGTAAGGTGATGGACTGGCCTCATGGCCTCGTGATTAGGGGAGCCTGATCGACACAGCCAACCGCATGGTTTGAGTCCTGGGCCCAGTGGCTTGCAAAACACGTCAGGCGCAGGTACATGCATGCCCATAATTCCGACAAGATGAAGAGGTGGAGGAGAAGGGATTGAACTGTCACCGTGCCCCACTGGGGAAGTGCGTTCTCCCTCTGCTCTGTCTCTCTGATTCTCTCTGTCAAATGCACCCTCTGGCAAAGTTCAAAATAAATAAATAATAAAAGAAACTAGTGAGGCCCAGCCATGGTAGTGTGCACTGTGATGTCGCTACGCTGCTGACCAAAGCCACACGGGAAGCCTGTACCATTTCCCCCCAAAGGCAGGCCAAGTGGTATCCTGTGTCCCTCTGAAAGCTGAGCACAGTGGTGCGTACCTGTAGTCTCAGCTATGGGGAAGACTGGAGGAGGAGGGTGACATGGAGAGACCCTGTCTAGAAAGAAGGAAGGGAGGGCGGAAGGGAAAGTAAGGCAATGCAAGGAATTTGAAGTGATACAATACATTTCAAAGACAAAATACTGAATTCATGCAACCCTTCTTTAGCCAGCAGGCATGATTGGTCGCCGGCAGGCCAGACACTGAGTTAGGACAGAAATAAAGAGGACCAGCATCTGCTTGCTGCCCTGGAGGGCCAGGTCCACAGGGAAAGCCAGAAATGGGTGACTTAGTAGGATGGTGTTGGTACCTTAAAGGGGAAGTGCACGGGGTGCTGGGGGCGGGGGTGGGGGATCAGGGAGACCTGTCCCACAGCTGGGGAGGGATCAGTGAAGGTTCTCTGCACCCCCGAGGGAAACATGCTGACGTAAGGGTTGGGGCTCCTGGTGTAGGCAGCTTGCCCAGGAGCTCCCTTAGTGAGAGGAATCAAGAGCGAGCCACCTAAGGGAAAAATGGAGGAGACCGGATGTGGCATGACCACGCTCCGTTAGAGGGTGCTTCCTCCCCCCTCGCTCTCCCTACCTGTCACCTTCTGGTGAGTGCACGAGGCTCTAGAAGAATTTTCGACTTCCCTGGAACTGTATAGTCAATGCCAACGTAGGTCTGAAAGGAGCTTTTTTTTTGAGAGATTTTCACTGTAGGGCGTGTGCGCTCGCCAGACAGACAGAGAGAGAGACATAGAGACAGAAAGCGAGAAATCACCCCCCAGGGGGGATGGTCACGCCGCAATCCCTTCTCCTCCATTCTCCTCTCCGGATCTTGGTCACGCACGCACACGCGCCTGGCGTGGTTTAAGCCACAGGGTCCGGGACACGAACCACGGTCGACTACGTGGGAGTCCAGTGACATAGCCATTACGCTAACTGCTGGTTCCCTGAAAGGAGCTTTTGTAGTAATGTTGTCCTCTGGATCCTGATACATTGCCTTTTAATAGAGGCCTCGTCTCAGTACTGTCTGGAACTTTCTCTTTATGCTGCTCTTGTTTAGCAAGAACAGGCTTAAGCTCCATCTGAGCAGGCTATGAGAATGCACAGCTAATCTTTACCTTACCTAAGCGTTCACCCTTGCTGGGGCCAGACAGCAATGCAGCAGTAAAACAGGCTGCTGCGTGGGAAGGCTGCGGCGTCACCTCCGGAGACCACTCTGGGGACACGTGCATGTGTTTGCATGCTCACAACCTAGGGCTGGCTGGAGAAGGGGTGGATGGTGGTGTGAAGACACTGTTGAGGTCCTGTCCCTCTTTTCTGTCACTCATGAAAGAAACAAACTTAATACTTTAACTCCTTGTTCCTTAGGAATGTGTCCCGAGGGCCAGCTGCTAGGTACCAAAGTAGCTGCTAGCCTTGCAGAGCCTCAGCCTCCCCCACGGGGGCCTGAATCAGAGTATCCATTTTAACAAGATCCCCAAGTGATTTGCAGGCACATTAAAATGCTAGAAGCACAAAGGCTATAAACCTTTAGCTGCTTCCATTCCCCTAACAGACAGAAAGGTGCTCAGGTTGGAGAATTTCATTCGGCATCTGAAAGACGTGCCCGTGGCATGGCACGGCATGGTGTGAAGTGGGCAGGACATTCCCGTTCCGCTCAGCCCTCGCCTCTCCTCTTCAGCATTTGGATCCTCTACAACAGTGGCTTCTTCTATAGCCATAAGGTTCCTGGTTAAGATTTCTCTTACCTATTTGCATACAGAGGAGGTGCTAAATTTCAGGCACAGGTGGTAATACCAAAATTTTCTTTCTTGACCCATCACATACCTTTCCACCAGGCACAGGTTGATCAGCTCAGTTTCCATTCTGTTCTGGACTCCCCTAGAGAAGCCGCCAGCAGACATAACCCACAGGGGACTCCAGACAGCTCTGCAGCAGGGGGACAACCAGGGTGGAGGCGTCTGTACTAAGCTCTCTTTATTATCGAATTGTGCAGACTGAGTTTGAGCTGCCACCTGACAGCCGCAGAACCCATCCAGAGCTTGTAGCTGTCAGGTCTGTTTTCCTCCAGTTCTCTCAGTGTCTGGAAGCTCTTCCCTGTGCGAGGCTCCTGCAGTTCCAAAGCCAGCTCCACCTGCCGTGGGAAGATGAGCACCAGGAAAACCTGGGCCTCTTTTTAATTAAGTCTTCAATTTGGAAATCTGCCTGCATCCACCCTTATTTGAGGATCTGTGAGCTGTGGAGCATCTGGGAAAGTTCGTGCATCGTTTGTGCAAAGTTTGTGCTTAAGAATTCATTATAGTTTGCTATCAGCCTGATAGTCACTTAAAATACCAGGCAGTGTGCTGCTGGTTGGTGATGCAGCGTGAAACACAAGGCTGTGGGAGACTGACCCACACAGGAAGGACCCAGGTTCACTTCCAGAGGCCTCCCTGAGTCCTCCAGGCACATGCATGCTTGTGATTTGGAGCTGGCCGAAGCTGGGGGTAGACTGTGGTGTCAAGACCCTGGTGGAGATGCTGTCTTTCTGTCTGTCTGTCTCTCTCTCTCTCTGTCTCTCACACTCATAAAAGAAAGAAAGAAACTTTTAAAAATGAGCACCAGGAAAACCTGGGCCTCTTTTTAATTAAGTCTTCAATTTGGGGAACCAGCAGTTAGCGTAATGGCTATGTCACTGGACTCCCACGTGGTCGACCGCGGTTCACGTCCCAGACCCGGTGGCGTAAAACTCACGCCGGGCGCATGTGTGTGCGTGCCCAAGATCCTGAGAAGAGAATGAAGGAGAAGGGATTGCAGCGTGGCCATCTCCCCTGGGGGGTGATTTCTTGCTTTCTGTCTCTATGTCTCTGTCTGTCTGGAGAGAGCACACGCCCTATAGCAAAAAAATCTCTCCAAGAAAAATAAATAACTGGCAGCTTACTTTCTCATTTTCCCTTTCTCTCTGTCTCTGGTCAATTAAAAAATAAATAATGGTTGGGCCCAGCAGTTGGCGTAATGGCTATGTCGCTGGACTCCCATGTAGTTGACCGTGGCTTAATTCATGCCAAGTGCATGTGCATGCATGCCCAAGATCCCGAGAGGAGAATGGAGGAGAAGGGATTGCGGCGTAGCCATCCCCCCTGGGGGGTGATTTCTCACTTTCTGTCTCTCTCTCTCTCTCTGTCTTTCTGGTGAGTGCACGCACCCTATAGCAAAAACTTCCCCAAAATAAATAAATAATGGTAGCAAATAAAATTAAGGAAATAAATTGTTCTTTTAAAGAAATACAGTGCAACTAGAGGTGCACTTTGGGGTACTGTCATGTTGAAAGCTTCTATTTTAGCACTAACTCTTAGGGGGGAAAAGCATTTCAGGTTGACTTTGTTACATGCAGAATCCACTCTCGACCCGCAGTGATGCAGTTTGGCAAAGGGAAGTCGTGTTGCTACCGGTTCCTGACCAAAGGCCAGCAGTGGATCTGGCTGCAGACCCACTACTACATCACCTACCACCAGTGGAACTCCAAGCCCGAGTTCATCGTGTGCACGCACTCGGTGGTCAGGTACGCGCGGGCGGTGGGGCCTGGCTGCAGCCTTGCAGTGCCTGGGAGTGCCGTGTGAGGCCCCTAGCCCCTGAGGCAGGTCAGCTGCCCCCTCTGCACGTCCAGGTTGCTAAGTATCTGCACCCAGAGCTCAGGGGCCTTCTGGGTAGGCACACACCCCTCCCCGTTCTCTTCTCCCAGGGCTAAGACTTCTTTCAAGTTTTCAATCTGACACCTTGAAAGCCTCTTGAACTCTTGCAGGCTGGCAGGGTCTTACTTAATAAGTTACTGCTTCACTGACCTACTTACATATTTTCCCCTCCTCTCTAGCCATCCCCCAGCCTGCCCTTGTCGCTGTGGGAGAAGAAAATTAAAATTTCACCTCTAAATAACTCAGACACAAACTCCCCTTTATTTTTAATGCTTTAGAAACCCCTGCTGGCAACTGAGGCAGGGCTGTGAAAAAGAGCCACGCTACTGGTGGGAGAGGCTTCTGGCAGGTCCTGGAGAGGCCCAGGCAGTCCTCAGCATGGGTGGGTGAGCAGGGCTTCACGGGGAGGTGGCACGTCCAGCCGTTCGCTGACACATCCTGAATGCAGTCGCCCTCCCAGAGGTGAAGCAGCTCACCCTCTCCACCCACCCCCCGCACGCAGTCACACACACACTGTAGACACTTGAAGAACATCAGCCCGTGCTGAGCAGAATCTCGAGAAGAGCGAATAACCAAGGGTTAGGTGGACTGTGTGTGTATACATGTACGTGGCAGATGGTGTAGACCTGCACGTGTGTCTATACCCACGCACAGTCCAAGCTGATCACTCTTCTTTAGTCTGCGGGGCACAAGGCAGAGGAGAAGCCCTCTGCTCCTTGGACAGTGACCCGCTCCCACGTACTTACATGTCGTGCCGCTGCACTCAGAGACTGGGTCTCCGATTCCCTGCCCACCGGATGCTCCAGTGGTGTCTGACTGGCCAGCGCCCCCACACCACCCAGCTGGACCTTTGCCAGAGGGCCCCTTTGTGCCCAGGCAGGCTGGGCACCATCAGCACCTTGATCTTCGGGCCTACCTCGACCCTGCCTTGCCTCTCCATCCTCCACCCCACCCCCAGGTGATCAAAGGGCACGCTCAGAGCGTAGTGAGCAGAGTGAACCTGTGGGAGACAAGCAGCCCAGAGGCCCAAGGCCCTCAGCCGGCCTGCGTCTCCACTGTGCACCGCCGTGTCGGATCCACTCACCCAGGCTTTGAACAAGTGGGCCATGGGCTGGAAATGGGATGGCTAAGAAGAATTTGTGTCATGCTTCCATACGCGTGGTCCAGACTGAGCAGGTTTCAGGAATACTTCTAATTACTTAAAGGCAGAAATGTGCCCCATAGATGAAAATGTATTTTTAAAGACTTATATTTGGAGATTTCAGGGGGAGGGAGGAGAACAGTAATGGAGGAGAGAAGAAAAACATCCTGGCAATGAGGTTATGTTGAATGTAATATCAGAAATCACTCCAGTGGAGTTGAGGGAGCAAATGGAACTCGTTCTCTCAAACAAGGGATAGACCAGGCTCTTCTGTGTAGACTATTCTGGGAGCAGGTATTACGTAAGGAACCCTGTGTGTCTCCCAAACCCATTTTGGTGTTTCATTCTGGAATGTTCCACCTCCACTGTGGTTTCTTCATTTGCTGAATAGTTACGCAGATGTTCGAGTGGAGAGGAGGCAGGAGCTGGCTTTGGAAGACCCACCATCCGAGGCCATCCACCCCTCAGCACTAAAGGTATGTGCCTCCCTGCCAGATGGGCAAAGATAACATGGGTTAGGTAGAACCTTCTGTGAAGTGTCATCATAAAAACAGTAATAATGGGACCAGCAGTTAGCGTAATGGCTATGTCGCTGGACTCCCACGTAGTCGACCGTGGTTCAAGTCCCGGACCCGGTGGCTTAAAACTCATGCCGGGCATGCCTCCGTGTGTGCCCAAGATCCCAAGAGGAGAATGGAGGAGAAGGGATTGCAGCATGGCCATCCCCCCTAGGCAGTGATTTCTTGCTTTCTACCTCTCTGTCTTTCTCCATCTTTCTGATGAGCGCACACACCCTATAGCAAAAACCTCTAAAAAAAAAAAAACAGTAATAATAACAACAGAGCCACTTGTATCTATTGAGAACTCTACTCTGGTAGTGTTCAAAGCGGTTCGGGGTATTTTCTTATTTACCTGATGACCTCTGTGTGGAGTAGGTCCCAATGTTGGCCTTGCTCTTCAGATAAAGCACTGGGGCATGCAGAGAAGTTAGCCATGGGGCCAGGCAATGGCACGACAAGCAACGCCATGCTGGACCCATATGGGAGGGTCCCAAGTTCACGTACAGATGCCTCCCTGAACACACGCTTGGCACACGCACACATGCCGTGATCTAGGCGGGCTGAGACTAAGGATGGATCTTGGTATGAAGACCCTGTTGGGGGTCTGCCTCTGTGTGGGTGTGTGAAGAAATTAATAAATAATTTTTAAAAAGAGCTATGCCTCTGAGGGTGCTGAGGGTTAAAACTCATGGAGCTGGATTGAAAACAGCCTCTGGACGCAAAAGTATGGCTTTTTAAACTTTCCAAGAATAGCTGCCATATGTCCACTTCCCATCTCTCCTGCTGATCAAAAGCTGGAGCCATCAAGTCACTCCATAATCCTGCCCAGGCGTGGAGTAGCTTGAGCGCCCCATCCTGGCATCAGCTTCAGTGCTGCTGCCCTGCCCAGGACTCGGGCACTCTATGCAGCTTCATGGCATCAGCGAGACGCACTTCCCACCTCCGTGTCTGGGGATCTCGGCAGCCATGTTGGAGCCTGCCCTATCTACTTAGGAAAGCATTTTGCTCTACAAAGTCTGTTAGCTCCTTCCTTCCCCACTCCTGAGCTCTCTGGTCCCCTCTGGCCAGGCTTCTCCTAGACTCTGCTCCTGGTTTGTCAGTCAACACAAGGGAACCTAGAAAACTCTGCAAGTAGACCAGAGCCCTGTTCCTCAAAAATCACTCTCCCAGCAGGCACAGATGTCATGAGAAAAGAAAGCGAGAAAGCTAGTAAGGGAGGGAGTGTGTATTTCATCAAAGCTGAGAAGCTATCAGCCAGAAGATCCACCTTTATCTCCCACTAAGTGTTTCCTACTAAGAAAGACAAGATGCCAGGGCCAGCAGGTGGATGGTGGTTAAGGCTCTGGACTCCCATGTGGACAAGCATGATTCGAGTCCTGGGCCTGGCAGCTTGAAACTCACACCGGGCACATGTGCATGCGTGCCCAAAATCCCAAGAAGAGAGTGGAGGAGAAGGGATTGTGGCATTCCCTTTCCTCTGTCTCTCCCACGAGCACACATACCCCATAGTAAGATTCTCTCAAAATAAAGAAAGAAGATGCTACCAAACAATCTGTGAGAAGGGTTTCCTCCATCCATTGAAGGGCACATTCCAACCTCAGATAGCTTAAAACGCTCTTAGACTCAATGAAGTCTAAGTTCCAGTGTGCCAGGGGACCTGGAACCTAGAGCCTCTGGCCAGAGGCTGGTGTGGCATGATGACTCAGCCTTTCAGCCTGTCTGTGATCAGACGAGAGCATCTCTTATTACCCAGAACAAGCTGGGAGAAAGGAGAAATCACCTCTAAAGATTGCAGAGCAGTGGTCGGCGGCTTCGCAGCCTCCCGACTGACACGCTACATGGCAAAGTGCTCTACAGTGATTCATCACCAGCATGCCAACACGACACAGCTGTCACTGTGCATGGAAGGGTTTAGTACCTGGCTCCGTCACGTAATACATCATGTGTCAGGTCAGAGCACAGAATTAAGCTGCTAATAGGCACATGCTAGACACGCCATATATCAGGATCGATGAACTGGCATAACGTGTTATCATCCAATCGGAAATTCATCATGGAGGGCCTGACCCTTGGGGAATCCTGGAGCTCTGTGGAATGTCTTTTCGTAAAAATGCACATGTATACACACACAAATACAATCTCAGATGCCTGGGTAAGAACGCCTTTTACAGTAAAAACTCTAGGGCAGTGCTTTTCAGACAATCTGTGGTAATGGACTAATTGGGTTTGTTTCACTTTTGAAGTTTATTCATTTCTCCCAGGAGCAAGAGAGACAGAGACAGAGACACAGCACCTCCAGTGGAATCCTGACGGCACGGTCCACTCGCAGCCTCAGCCAGCCCTGAATCATGGGCACATATGGGCCCGGCATGCTCAGGGAGGTCTCTGGACACAAACCTGGAACTTTCCACTTTCCTTTCCTTTAGCCCTGCCAAGCATTGCCTTTCACCACTGCGCTCTGCCCAACCCCAAGTTCGTTTGTTTAAATGACTGGTTTTCATGAGAGTTCGTTAAATGAGAGACACATTTTTTTAAGTTTATATGTTCATAAGCAAGAGAGGCAGAAGGCAGGCAGCCCCCTGCTGCCATGACCCGTCGCAGCCTCAGCCAGTCCAGATCACGGGCTCATGTGTGGCTAGTGCTCTCAGAGTGGTCTCTGGGCCCAAAGCTAGAACCCACCCACCTAGGTAAACCTCACAGAGCTTCGTTCTTACCCACCGCACTTTACTGCTGCACCATTTGCCAGCTAGCAACACACTGTGTGTGTGTGCGTGTGTGTGTGTGTGTGTTTTAGAGGTTTTGCCATAGGGCACGTGTGCTTGCTGGAGAGAGACAGAGACTGTGAGAGGGAAAGTGTGAAATCGCCCCCCAGGGGAGATGACCATGCCGCAGTCCTTTCCCCTCCATTCTCCTGCTAGGATCTCGGGCACGCACATGTGCCTGGCATGATTTTCAAGCCACTGGGTTCAAAACTCAATCTACAGTCAGCCATGTGGGAGTCCAGCAACGTAACCACTCTTCCCTCTGCCGGCCTCTACAGTTATTTTTTCATTTCAAACATTTCCCACACTTAGGTCTCTGCTGAGCAGCACTATTTCACAAATGGCTGTGGTGGGCCAGAGGGGGCATAGTGGTTAAAACGCTGGACTTATACATGGTCAACCATGGTTCAAGTCCCAGCCTCAGTGGCTTGAAACTCATGCTGCATGCATGTGTGTACATGCCAAAATCCTGAGAGGAGAATGGAAGAGAAAGGATTGCAGTGTGGCCATCCTCTGGGGGGTGATTTCTCACTTTCTGTCTCTCCAGTTGAACACACCTGCCCTATAGCAACAATCTCAATAAAAACAAAAAGGCCATGCATGGTTCAGCGACCCCAGTTCCCAGTTTGCAGGACTAAGCAATACCGTGGTTGAGCAAAGTCTCAACGCCAGCCACTGCCACAGCACATCCAGCCACGTGCTGAGGTTCTGTTTGCAACAAAGGCATGCAGCTCCTGTGTCCATCTCTCAGCCCCACCTGCACACAGTGTCCTCCGCTGCAGCCATGACTCGAAAGACAGAATAGCCACGTAGACTCACGCATGGGCCTTTGTACCCGAGACTACAGGTCACAGAGCCTGTGATGGCCCAGTGGATGCCGGCAATTTCTAGCCTTCTTTTTTTTCTTTTTAAAATATATTTATTTATTTTACGGGAGAGACTAGCATCGTCAATAGGATCTCACACCACAGTCCCCAACCTCAGCCGTCCCCAACCTCAGCCTTCCCAGCCAGCCAGCCAGCATCCTGGTACACATACCCACCATGGACAGGTCAGCCTGGGAACCGAACCCCAGCCTTCCACAAGGCTTCCAGCATCACCGAACGTTACCCTGCCACTGCCCCCACAGCGTCCCTCATTTAGTCCTAGGTAGGACTCGGGCTCAGGAGACTGATCGCTGTGTTTCTTCTTTAGCTGAAAAGCGATCACGACCCACATTTTCCTGTGCCTGCGACACCTCAGCCACGGCAGCGTGGGGGCGTCGGCATCAGACGTCCCGTTGGTTTGTCACCACGCTACATTTGAGGCAGAGTCATCCTGGGAGCCAGGATCAGTTAGGACAGAGGCCAGAAGAGAGGAGCCCACGGGCCCCTGGCCCATCCTGCATTCCAGGGCCCTGAGGCTACAAGAATAAGTTATGGGAGGGAGCCTAGGTGGCGCCCCGAGAGGCCTTGGTTTCATCGGCTGTGTTAACACTAGAGCACCAACAGCTTCCTTATTTCTAGAACCTGACCCCGCCCCTCATCTCAGAAAGCCAACATTGTGGGTGGTAAAGTGTCATATTAAGGGAAAAAATCCACTGCAAAGGCAGGGGTGAAATTCTGAAAAATCAAAATAGGCCTCACCACCGTATAATACATTGCTCAGACGCTGCCCTACAAGCCTGGACCTCAGACAGGACCCAGGTTTGTTTCCTGACCCTTCGTAAAGGGCAGGTGCTGAGTCGTGTGCCTGTGGTCCCTGCAGCGCAGGAGGCTGAACCAGGAGGGCTGCAAGCTCAAGGCTGACCTGAGACGGAGCAAGGCCCTGTACGGAAGAGAGCGGGCATGATATGTGCTCCCCTAGGCTCAGCTGGGGCTGAGGAAGGAGGTCCTGACGTGGTTGGACCCTGCACTTCAGAAAGAAAATCGGCCCAGGCAGGTGGTGCAGTCCATAGCATACAGACTGCAGTGTGGGAAGCTGTATGACCTTCCAGGGTTCAGATCCCAAGGTCAGCCTAACAGTATTCTAGGTGCATGCAGATCTGAGGACCTGGAGGGCCGGGGAGAGGGGGTCGTGGTGTGACAAGACTCTATTGAGGGTGCTTCTCTAATGTGCATCTGTTCTCTATCATGCATTTTTAAAAGAAAATCAAAATAAAAGGTAAGGGGGACCAGCAGGTGGCACAGTGGTCAAGGCACTAGGCTCCTAATTGGTTGACTGTGATTTAAGTCCTGGACCCAGCAGCTTGAAAATCAGTCCAGGTGTATGTGCATGCATGCCCCAAATCCCACAGGGTGAATGGATAAGGGATTGCCATGTGGCCATCCACCCTAGAGGATGATTTCTCATTTTTCCTCTCACTGTTTATCTCTGCCTCTCTCTGACAAGCACACAGGCCCTATGGTAAAAACCTTAAAAATAAAATTTTAAGCTAAAAGAATTAACATTAGGTCTTAGAAAAGCCATGATATATTTTTACGTAGAAAAACAGAAAAATACCTCATGACTTTTCCGACAGCCCAGTAACTACTGCTAATGGTCTACAAGCCTCTTGATACCTTTTAGATTACATAAATGTATACCTTCCACCAAGGTATATTTAGAATTGTCCCCAGACAGGTACAGAATTTGTCTCCACAATTCCCATTTTTTTCTCTATGATAAAATTCAAGTCATATCACTTATTCATTCACATCACCTTTTTTCCTTTAATGAGAGTGACACACACGTGCATTAGAGAGAGACGTGCCCTTGACAGGGCTCATTATGCCATGATCCCTTCCCTGGCCCTGTGGGTCCTCAGAATCCTGGGCGCTTGTGTGCCCCGGTGTTGTTTTCAGGCCAGCCTGGGGATCCAAGCCCGTGGCTGCCACCTGGTTTCCAGCCTCGCAGGGCACGTGCACACCCCAGCTGGCAGCCCTTGGGCCTGTGCCCATCGTCCTGATGCCAAAACATGGACTCTGCGTGTGTGTGTTTCAGGACAAGGGCTCAAGCCTGGAACCTCAGCCGCACTTCAATGCACTTGACGTGGGCGCCTCAGGCCTTACCACCACTCACTCGCCGTCAGCGTCCTCAAGGAGTTCCCACAAATCCTCGCCCACAGCCATGTCAGAACCCAACTGTGAGTGCCCTTCCATGGAGGGGAAGTGGGTGAGGGGCCCCTCAGGCAACTCAGAGCAGACGGTGCTTAGGAAGCAGGAGTTGCCAGGCCGTGACCTCCTTGTTTCCTTTCCGGCTAACTTCCTGCCTCCTGGCCACCTCCCATGCTCTGGGATCCCCACCGCAGTGCCAAGCAGAGCCGTAAAGCAGGTGGCACGCAGGTCAGATAACTTGGCTACTTTTAGAACCTCTGGAGATGGGGCCAGTAGTGGGCGGTAGGGGTTATTTGTGGTGTGTTCCACCTGCTCCCAGGCTGGGTTTCTGTGGCTAAGCCACTTGGGTTCAGGACAGACTTCCTTCGTCAGAGACTCCAACCAAACTCTGGTGGTGTCAGGTTCACTGTTGTCCTTGTTCCCTGTTTTGATAAGAAAGATGCTAATGAGACCAACAGATGGCATCATGGTTATGTCACTGGACTCCCACGTAGTCAACCGTGGTTCAAGTCCCGGACACAGTGGCTTAAAACTTACACCATACACCAGGCATGTGTGCATACATGCTCAAACTCCTGAGAGGAGAATGGAGAAAAGAAAAGGAAAAAAGCTAGTATGTATGAGAGGACATTAAAAAGCTGTGGAAAAATAGAATTGAAGCACAACTTTAATCACGTGCAAAAACACTTGCAGTCTACGCATGGTTCCTCACGTGACACCCTTCCCCCGAACTTTCGAAGCCCCCTCGTGTACCAGGAGCGTAATTAATTGCTTCCTTACAGCCACTCCGACCAAGCTGACGGCAGAGGCCAGCACCACAGCTTTGCCCAGATCGGCCACCC